CGCGCAGCACGCTATATAGCTCACCTACGTGCGCTTTGGGGGCGGTGCTAAGCGCTATTTGGCCAATGAATTGGCGTGATGGTATAAGGGCTTCAGACATTCGTCACACCGAAGGTGTTCCCAAAGCGATGACGTCATCGCAGCATCTCGTTCCCCTATTCAGGGAACCAAGGTTACATACCTAACCTAGATGTTTTCATACAGCCATAACTGGACGCTTTTGTCCATATTAGGAATTTCCTCGTACGACTTTCTGCGCGAGAGCGCCCTCCGGCTTCGAGTATGAATGAAACATACTCTGCACAGAGTGTTTAATGCTCCGCGATGTTCATCTCGCCTTATTCTGGGTCCGAATAAAACATCAGATCATGCACAGACTATCCTGTCTCTTTGAATTTAAATCTATAAAAACATCAGATCATGCACAGATCCTGTCTCTTTGAATTTAAGTCTATATTTATTCATACCGGCTCTTGAAAACCTCTATGCGAACACACTTGCCCGAAAAAGTGCGGTCTTCTTGCCCCGCGTAATCTACGCCCTTGCACTACAGTACCACATAACTGCAATTTCATAGTTTTTGTAGTAGTAGTAGTAGTAGTAGCAACCACTACATTGTAGTGCCTTCATCCTTGCCTTATCGTTCCATTTTCCTTCTTTTGCAACTGAGATTTTGGCATTATTTGCTCTTTGTGTGTGCACTGTCAGCCGTGCCCAGGGGTCAGGGTGTGCTGTGGCCGCGGTGGGGTTTCCGTATGCGGCGGCTCAGGGTGCGAACGAGCCGGTCCACGGCATTGCGTTTGTGTGTCAGCTCATTCCCTGAAATCAAACCCTCAATATTCCCACTGTACCACATGACCCAGCTATGTGATCAGAATCCCGCCTAAAGTATTGCAGTCACGGATAAAAAAATAACAAGTGTGAAAACAAAATTTTAAAACACAAGTAAAAATATATTGCACAAGATTTAAAAATGAAAGCAAAGTTTTCAGAATAGCAAACAATGGTCACGGATTTAAAAATAATAAGCGTAAATCTAAAAATTAATAACGCATTTTTAAAAATAATAAGCATGAATCAAAACTTTAAACACGTTTAAAATCATATTGCACAAAATTGAAAAATTAATGCAAAATTGGCAGGCGTACAGCAGTGACAGGCAGACACATACAATTTTGTTTTCATGCTTGTTATTTTTTTTATCCGTGACTGCAATACTTTCGGCGGAATTCTGATCCCATACCCAGCCCCCCATAGACATCAACACCAGCAGAGCTCCCGAATACACCAACAGATCACCAAAGTCTAGACCCTCGATCTCAAGCGGGACGAAGACGCTGATCAGAAGAGCAGACACACCGAAAAGATCCATAAGGCCTGCAAACACCAGGACAAACTTACAGTGGGTCAGTCCAACACGGTCAGGTGTAGACATGGTGAACGGACGCCCTTCTGCCACGAGCGAGGAGAGAAGCATTAAAGAATAATATTAAAAACGATAACAATCACAGCTCTAGTAGGAACAGTTTTGATTTGACTAATTCAATACAGAAATAGGCTATATACTCTACCTGAAGGGTATTATATTATTTTATTTTACACCAATAGGCATATAGTCTATCTTAATGTAAAGTAAAGCACAATAAAGTATTACGTTTAAAAAAAACAGAAGATATATTTTAGGTGAAAAAAAAAATGCTTCAATAATATCAATAATCGAGCACTGCTTCCCAAATAAAGAAAACCAAGTAAGCACTGAGAGATTATCATTTTACTTACCTTTTATGACAGAAATTATATTCGTTTGCGAAACTGTGAAGAAAGACTCTTTCATTTAGATAATAAACAGTTTTGGTCGTTTGTGTTTTTTTTCAGGATTTGCCACCTGCCCGCAAACTAGCCGCGTCACGCAGGTGGTGTCACGTGACATGACTCTCTTAAACGTCATTCATTCACCCGTTTCCCTAAAATTATAACAAGACTTAAAACATAAGCGGATGTGACGGTGGGACTTTTTTATGGTTTCATTCCAGTATAAACACCTTTCATACCGATTTAGAGATTTCCTGCAAACCAGATGACGATTCTCAAAATTAAAACCAAAACCATAACGTAATTGTTCGAGGATTAACTGACAAAACACTCATTCACTCATTCAGAAGTGTGTGAATCTCAGTGAAGGTTTAGTTTCGTGACTAGGCTCTATTTGAGGAATGAGTTGTATTTTTCAGGAAATGTATCATAGCTCTTGAAAAAAGTCCCTTTTTGAAAAGTTTGCGTATAAACACTATTTAAAAATGTACTTTGTATATCATATGAAATAATAGTCAGAAAAAAATATTATTTTTCTTTAAATGTTATAAAATTGAGGTGTTTTTCCTTCTCAGGTGTGATATCTTACTAGTCTATAATATGATATCACACCTGAGGAGGAAAAAACACCTAAATTTTATTAAGAGGCCCAGTCTGAGCAAAAATATGCAAGTTGGTTGTAATGAGATCCTTAACCCTCTATGGTATGCATTATGTTCTAACCATGAAGTCATTTTTCAAGTGGGAAAAGTTGCCATATGGCAACGCTGTACCACAATGGAAAATGGTCAAAAAAGTAGGCTAGTTTTTCTATCAAATTATTTTGTTTTCTATTTAAATGCACACTTCATTTAAATATTGATAGATTTATATATTTGGAACTCATGCAAACCAAAAATAAGTAGATCCCTATCATTTAACCTTCACTGTAGGCCAAGTCATCCTCACTCTTATCACATGGAAGAGTTAACTCTGTATTCTTCCTATTGGCCTTTCTGTAAAACATTGCTGTATTAATTTTTTTGAAAAGAATAAAAAAAATTGTTATTTATACATAAATACAACTATACTACAATTAACACTTCAAATAAGTAAATAACTCCAATCATATTAATGATACTCCTATCTATATCTATATATAAATCCCAATGGGGAAATACATTACTGCAGTTCCACTGTGGTACAGCATTGCCATATGACAACAATTTCTGAAGATGAACGAAGGTCTTACGCGTTTGGAACGACATGAGGATGAGTAATTAATGACAGAATTTTCATTTCTGGGTGAACTATCCCTTTAACAGAGCAATTTCTGGAGCACTTCAACAGGTGAGGGTGACAGTGGGAAAGAGTTTTGGAAGGACGTTCAGACGTCATGTGACTTAAAAACAGCACATCATTGGCTACCAAAGGGTTTGTTCACCCAAAAATGAAAATTAGTCCATGTTTTACTCACCCTCAAGGCATCCTAGGTGTATATGACTTTCTTCTTTCAGACAAATAAAATCGGAGTTATATTAAAAATTGTCCTTGTTCTTCCAAGCTTTATAATGGCAGTGGGCGGGTGTTTTTGTTCAACAGTCCAAAAGTAGTCAAATAAAGAGCATCCACCCATATTAAAATGTGCCTCACACGGCTCCGGGGGGTGGGGTGAATAAAGGCCTCCTGTAACGAATCAATCCATTTTTGTAAAAAAACTGTCAATATTTAAAACGTTATTAACACTTTTCTCTCACTTCCACTAACTGTTATAAGTGCAAGCCATTCCGGGAGGATGACGTAGGACGTATGTGTTGAGCACGTGCCGGTGAGATATGCTAGTCTCGCGAGTTTGTTTACAGGAGCAAAGGAAGCAAAGTTTCCTTACTTTAGCAAAGGAAAACCTCTCCTCTTGGCTTATATAGAAATCCTCCTACATTTTTCTTTACAAATCCTCGTTTTGTGTTTCTAATTTGAGACTGTGAATTTTGTTTTGTTCTCTCTCCGTCGTGCTTCTGCGTTCGTCACTAATGCGTGCGCGACGCATACATCATCTGCCGGAATGGCTTCCACCGACGACAGTTAGCGGAACTGAGAAGAAAAATGTTTATAACATTTTAAATATGGATATTTTCCCTACAAAAACACATCGATTCACTACAGGAGGCCTTTATTCACCCCCCGGAGCTGTGTGAGGCACGTTTTATATGGATGGATGCGCTTTATTTGACTTCTTTTGGACTGTTGAACAAAAACTCCCGCCCACTGAAATGATACCGCTTCGAGGAGCAAGGATAATTTTTAATATTATTAGATTGGATTCATCTGAAAGAAGAAAGTCATATACACCTAGGATGTCTTGAGGGTGAGTAAAACATGGGCTAATTTTCATATTTGGGTGAACTAATCCTACAAGGCCTGCCCTGTTAATTCCCATAAAGCAATATATGTGACACTGGACCAAAAAAACAGTCTTAATTAGCAAAATTATCAATTCTTCTTTTATGCCAAAAATCATTAGGATATTAGATAAAGATCATGTTTCATGAAGATATTTTGTGAATTTCATACAGTAAATATATCAAAACTTAATTTTTGATTAGTAATATGCATTGCTAAGGACTTCATATGGACAACTTTAAAGGCGATTTTCTTAATATTTAGATTTTTTGCACCCTCAGATTCCAGATTTTCAAATAGTTGTATCTAGCCAAATATTGTCCTATCCTAACAAACCATACATCAAGGGAAAGCTTATTTATTCAGCTGTATAAATCTCAATTTCAAAAAATCTACCCTTATGACTGGTTTTGTGATCCAGGATCACATATTGTATTTTTTTCAGAAAAACAAGATGAGTAGAAATTAATTGTTGCCATATGGCAACTTCGTATTATAGAGGGTTTAGAGTATAGCAGACTACTTACAAAAAATGCATATAAATATCACTTTTTATTTAAAAAAATATATAATGCAATGCAATACAATGAGTGAGATATGTACAAACAAATGTGTGATTACAGAGTGAAAAAAAACTAATACTGTCTACTATAATACTGTATAAGAACCTGGAAGGACCTTATTCCATTCCATTCGTTCTTTTAGTTTCATGGAAAAAGTCATTTAGGAGCAACTTTAAAGGGGTCATATGATGCGATTTCAATTTTTCCTTTCTCTTTGGAGTGTTACAAGCTCTTGGTGCATAAAGAAGATCTGTAAAGTTGCAAACACTAAAGTCTCAAAACCAAAGAGATATTCTTTATAAAAGTTAAGAGTCAGCCACGCCTACCTAAAACGGCTCGTTGAAACTACTTTGTTTGGTCTTCCAAAAGAGGACGATATCCGCTTCGAAGCGGAGTCTGTTCTTTTTAGCAGCATCATATGACCCCTTTAACATTAGATCCTGGAGGACAGAGGTAAAGTCACATGACATGAAACCGGTCCAACAGATTTTTTTTTCCTCCGAAGAAAATTATGTATGAATAATTAGATAAACCTACAAATTGTTGTTTCTTCAGTCCAGCAAATGTTCATCTTGAAATATTTTACGAACATTATAAAAGTTATTAGATAGATGTACCATGACCTGAAGGTGGATACTTTTATAATTATACTAAAAGGCCTTTTACTTAATAATAAAAAGCATGAACTACCAGTCAAGAGGAACACAGTAGTAGATTGTGTACAACAGGTTTTCACCCAACTTTTGACCATGTTAATCATTTAGAAACTCATGTATCAAATATAATACATTGTGCTTTATAAGGCTACATCTTAATTCAGCTGAAAATAAAGGGAAAGTAGATTCCATATATTCTGACATTTTTGTCTGAGGTATTTGTTCATGCTGGAGGCAGAGCTGTGTTCTTCGGTCATACTTCAGGCTAAACTTCACATAATTTCTGAGGAAAAAATTAAGGCTTTCCTGCCTTTTTGTTTGCGTTTACAGGGCACACACTCCCATGAAATGCTATCAAAGAACTTTTTGCGGTATCCAGACTGACATCCACACACGGTGTTATTTTGGGGTGTACATGGTGAAATCACCACCGCATCTGTCAGAGAACCAGTCAAAGAAAAAAGAGTGAACATCTAAACAAAATAAACACCGCAAAATATGTACAGTATATACGTAATTTCAATTTTAAGTTCATTACAGAAGTCGTGAAAGGAAAATGAAACTATCATAGCCTACTTACTTGGCTTGGTGCATTTATCGCATCTGAAGCAGTTTGGGAAATAGTTCATCTTGTCTAGGTATGTCCCATTCGAACATTTCTCACATTGCGATGACAAGTCACTAGTGCATTTTCTTACGAATTTATACCCTGAAGAAAAATACATGACAGATGAAGAGATTAAACAGTCTATTCCTCTGAAAAACTGTTATTCCGATGGTATTAGTTAAACATTTCAGACAGTGTACCTGGAGCACATTTGTCACAGCAGAGCCCGTCGCTCCAGTATTCATTTTTAGAACAATCACTTTTGCTGCTGGCGCTGCGCTGCCCCGTCACAACGCCTACGATCTGAGGTAAAACAGTTCATGACCGTTAAAAGGGCAACAGTTCATAACAGTTGAATTTATGGCTTGATATTGCGCAACTGGATGATGTCATCACTGGGTAACCCTTGAAACTGTAGTTTAACCTCAAAACATCTGCCAAATATCTGCTGTGTGACTAAGAACACAATCATGATGCACATATTTGTGAAATTTGCTCACTAGTTTCTAATGACTTACCAATGATAACAAAATACACGGCAGGAGTTTCCAACTACGTTGTCCTTGGATGTGAAACATGGTTCTTATAATGCGTGCAGTCAACCCTTCTGGAAAAAGAATATTTAATAGTATATTTATTAAACTGAAATTTTGAAAGAATAAAGACCAGTGAAGTATATAAATATATATAAAAATACAAAAAGATACATCTAGAATTATATATATTTTTATCCAGTTAAATGTTACATTCTGTGTCAGATATTTGTATATAACTGTATCTCAATATAATATTAATACATTTGTAGAACTACAGAACAGAATACAAAGAAGAGCACGTGACTTTACCTCTGTCCTCCAGGATCTAATGTTAGAGTCTCTCCTAAATGACTGTTTCCTTCAAACTGAAAGAACGAATGGAATGGAAGTCCTTACAGGTTCTTATATAAGACGACACTATTAGTCATCCTTTTACTACATAAAAGTAAAACTACATAACCACACAACTAATGTGGGGGGTACAATAAATGTCGCAATAACAAAACATTAAACCGGCCCAGTCAGATTTAGTCATCATAGGAGGAACTGAATTGGAAAAACCCTTTCCCCCAAAAAGAGGAATTTCTGTCTCATGTCTCTAGTAATTTAAACCGAATAAAGGATATTACATTTAAACCTCTGTTCCACTAACATCTCTAATATAATATATGGCTGATGAATTATCCACTAATTAAATACCAATTATTAAATGAACAAACAGATGTATATAAATTCTAAAATGTTATTTATTTTGACCCCAATGATGGTAATGCATTGTAACTGCCATACATTTTCAATTCATATTTTTTTTTTACACATTTTGGGCCAAAAGGGAATGTACTAAACAAGCCATAAACCAAATGCGGCTTATTCCAGGAAATTGATTTTAGAGGGAAGTTAATTTCTCCAGCAACACCACACAAGTTCCTGCTCAGAAATGATGACTTTTTGTCAAGGTTTATAGGTTGAAACTCTAAGCTATAAGAAAATAGTCATTTGTTTCAAACTAAAGCCAGATATTGAGGCATTGTGAATCACTGGTCCCATCATTTTCATGAAAATTTCAAAATTCATAGTTAAATGTCTTCCCTTTCATTGTGTGAACGAGATCTTCATTGATAACGATGGACGAACCACATGTATCTGCATTTTTTTATTCATTTGTGGATGGAGCGCAAAGACACTTAATCCTTTTAATTTTACTGTTCGATCAATATAGTAACAGAGCTTATAAACTGACATTAATATTTTTTTCTCTCCATTATCCAACATCAAATAGGATTTTTGCCATAGTGGCTTTCACACTAGGGGACTGAAGATAACAGTATTACGGCATGAATTGTGCTAAATGTGGACTATAACGCATGTATAATAAGGTATTATAAATAACAGTATGAATTTCTGTAAAGCTGCTTTGAAACCATATGTATTGGAAAGGTGCTATACAAATAAAATGGATATCACGATGAAACGTCAAGATACGGCATGAACAAAATGTTTATTATTAAAAATATAATTGTAATATTTATTAATTTGACATTTTTTTATGTAACAGGCATGAGTTTTTTAAGGGGCAAAAAAAAATCTCATTACCATTTTTATGTTTCACAAAAAAAGGAAAGTAATTTCTATAAAACTTGCCAAGTAAGTAAGGATAGTATAGAAAGCAAGCAAACTAGACAAACTAGTCAAGATGACAAATGGAAAGAAAAGGTGCATGGTGTTATCGCATCATCAGTCTACACCCATTGGGGCTTGACTCAGTAACCTTTGTTTTAAAAGCAAAGTTTAGTTACCATGACCATGCCAAAATACTATATAATTACTAAACCAGAATTATAATGACAGAATGCGTCATCTGGATTAATTACTACGTCCAGACATCCTAAAAATAGTGAATTTATGCATTGTATGTATTCTTTGTGAAAATATCTATTGAATGTTGCGTTAAGATCTGACAAAGAATATTTTAGATACGCATTACAAATGACATCAACAGACGTGTAGTACGTGTGCATTCAGGATGGTAGCACCCTTTTATTTCCCAACTTGATGCTGTTCCCCCTTTTCATAATTTACTATTATGTAAAAACCTTACCATGGACAGGGGCTAAAAAAGTTACAAATCTGCTGCATAAAATGTATTTTGCTGTTAAATAAATAGAATAAGTAGATTTTTTTTTACAGTGTCAAGTCACATAACAATAAATGGTTTTTGTCAGAGGTATTTGTTCATGCTGGAGGCAGAGCTGTGTTCTTTGGAAATACCATAGGGTAACATTCACATAATTACTGAGGAAAACTAAGGCTTCCCTGCTTATTTGGTTTTCAGTCATACAAAAACAGTCCTTTTAAAGGGCACACACTCCCATGAAATGCTATCAAAGAACTTTTTGCGGTATCTAGACGGACATCCACACACGTGGATTTCACATGGTGAAATCACCACTGCATCTGTCGGAGAAGCAGTCAAAGAACAAAACATCTAAACAAAATCAACACCGCAAAATATACATAATTGAAATTTTAATTTAATCACAGAAGTCATGAAAGGAAAATGAAACTGCATTATACTTAGTAGTCCATCTTGTCTAGGTATGTCCCTTCCGAACATTTCTCAGGGCACACACTCCCATGAAATGCTATCAAATAACTTTTTGCGGTATCTAGACGGACATCCACACACGTGGATTTCACATGGCGAAATCACCACTGCATCTGTCGGAGAAGCAGTCAAAGAACAAAACATCTAAACAAAATCAACACCGCAAAATATACATAATTGAAATTTTAATTTAATCACAGAAGTCATGAAAGGAAAATGAAACTGCATTATACTTAGTAGTCCATCTTGTCTAGGTATGTCCCTTCCGAACATTTCTCACATTGAGATACCATGCCACTAGAACATTTTCTCATCAACTTATAACCTGAAGAAAAATACATGACAGAGATTAAACAGTCTATTCCTCTGAAAAATTGTTGTTCCGATGGTATTGATTTCAGACAGTGTACCTGCAGCACGTCACAGCAGAGCCCGTCGCTCCAGTATTCATTTTTAGAACAATCCCTTCTGCTGCGTGGCCCTGCCGCAAAGTCTACTGTCTGTGGAAAAAGTGTAACCATTCATGCCACTTAAAAGTGTAACCGTTCATGAGTTAAAAGTGTAACCGTTAATGCCAGTGAAAAGTGTAACCGTTCAGGACAGTTAAAAGTGTAACCGTTCAGGACAGTTAAAAGTGTAACCGTTCAGGACAGTTAAAAGTGTAACCGTTCAGGACAGTTAAAAGTGTAACCGTTCAGGACAGTTAAAAGTGTAACCGTTCAGGACAGTTAAAAGTGTAACCGTTCAGGACAGTTAAAAGTGTAACCGTTCAGGACAGTTAAAAGTGTAACCGTTCAGGACAGTTAAAAGTGTAACCGTTCAGGACAGTTAAAAGTGTAACCGTTCAGGACAGTTAAAAGTGTAACCGTTCAGGACAGTTAAAAGTGTAACCGTTCAGGACAGTTAAAAGTGTAACCGTTCAGGACAGTTAAAAGTGTAACCGTTCAGGACAGTTAAAAGTGTAACCGTTCAGGACAGTTAAAAGTGTAACCGTTCAGGACAGTTAAAAGTGTAACCGTTCAGGACAGTTAAAAGTGTAACCGTTCAGGACAGTTAAAAGTGTAACCGTTCAGGACAGTTAAAAGTGTAACCGTTCAGGACAGTTAAAAGTGTAACCGTTCAGGACAGTTAAAAGTGTAACCGTTCAGGACAGTTAAAAGTGTAACCGTTCAGGACAGTTAAAAGTGTAACCGTTCAGGACAGTTAAAAGTGTAACCGTTCAGGACAGTTAAAAGTGTAACCGTTCAGGACAGTTAAAAGTGTAACCGTTCAGGACAGTTAAAAGTGTAACCGTTCAGGACAGTTAAAAGTGTAACCGTTCAGGACAGTTAAAAGTGTAACCGTTCAGGACAGTTAAAAGTGTAACCGTTCAGGACAGTTAAAAGTGTAACCGTTCAGGACAGTTAAAAGTGTAACCGTTCAGGACAGTTAAAAGTGTAACCGTTCAGGACAGTTAAAAGTGTAACCGTTCAGGACAGTTAAAAGTGTAACCGTTCAGGACAGTTAAAAGTGTAACCGTTCAGGACAGTTAAAAGTGTAACCGTTCAGGACAGTTAAAAGTGTAACCGTTCAGGACAGTTAAAAGTGTAACCGTTCAGGACAGTTAAAAGTGTAACCGTTCAGGACAGTTAAAAGTGTAACCGTTCATGACAGTTAAAAGTGTAACCGTTCATGAGTTAAAAGTGTAAACGTTCATGCAGTTGAACTTATGGCTTGGTATTGCGCAACTGGATGATGTCATCACTGGGTAACCCTTGAAACTGTAGTTTAACCTCGAAACATCTGCCAAATATCTGCTGTGTGATTAATAACACAATTATTATGCACATATCTGTAAAATTTGAAATCTGCTCACTAGTTTCCTATGACTCACCAGTAATAGCAAAAAAATGCACAGCAGGAGTTTCCTCATGCTTCGTCCTTGGATGTGAAACGGTTCTTATAACGTGTGCAATCAACCCTTCTGAAAAAGAAGAAGATTTAATAGTATATATGTGACCCTGGACCACAAAACCAGTCATAAGGGTCAATTTTTTGAAATTGAGATTTATACATCATCTGAAAGCTGAATCAATAAGGTTTCCATTGATGTATGGTTTGTTAGGATAAGACAATATTTGGCCGAGATACAACTATTTGAAAATCTGGAATCTGAGGGTGCATTTTTATTGAGAAAATCGCCTTTAAATTTGTCCAAATGAAGTTCTTAGCAATGCATTTTACTAATCAAAAATTAAGTTAAAATATCTTCATGGAACATGATCTTTACTTAATATCCTAATAACTTTTGGCATAAAAGAAAAATCGATAATTTTGACCCATACACTGAAACACGCTATTGCAATAGCCGTGCTTTATGACTGGTTTTGTGGTCCAGGGTCACATATTTTAGTAGATAACTGAAATTCTGAAAGATTAAAGGAGTAGTATATATTTTAATTGAATTGTGATATACAAAATATACAAGATACATATTCAGATAGTACAACTGTTTCAAAAACATCTAGAATTTATCTTTTTTTTATCCAGTTGAATGCCACATTTTGTGTGATATATAGTTGTATATAACTGTATCTTAATATAATATTAATTAATTTATTTGTAGAACTACAGAACTAACTAAAAGAAGAGCACATGAAGTTACCTCTATCCGCCGGGGATCTAATGTTAGAGTTGCTCCTAAATGACTGAAAGAACGAATGGAATGGAAGTCCTTACAGGTTCTTATATAAGATGACAATATTAGTCATCTTTTTGCTACATAACCACACAACTAATGTGGGGGGTACAATAAATGCCACAATTACAAAA